GAGGGGCCGGCGAGGTGGGCTGCAGGGCGGGGAGGAGGGAGAGGTTGGCAGGGAAGAGCACAGGGGGAGTCCGCCCCCACGCTGCGAACCCAGAGTGGCCTGGCCTGCGGGGAGCCCGGGCAGGCAGGCCGGAATGGTGGCGCGGCCCCACACTGTGCGTCCCTGATCCACAGGCACTCCTCATCAACGAGGAGGATGAGGGCTTCTGCGGGGGCACCATCCTGGGCCCCTTCCACATCCTCACCGCGGCGCACTGTCTGCTCCAGGCCAAGAGGTTCAAGGTGAGGGTAGGTAAGTGAGCGCCCCTTCCACTCCCTCCAGCGGGACCCAGGGCCTCCACAGATGATGCCAGAGCAAGGAGAGCCTTGGGTGGGCGGCCGCTGGCACAGGAGGGGCAGCTTGCCCTGCTCTGACAGCCAGCCCTTCCCAAGGGTCTCAGAGGCTCCGTGCGCCCAGACCCCCCTGCCCAACGCCCTGGGCACCCAGCAGCTCTGGCTCAGCCTGCACGGGGTCCTTGAGCCCATCAGACCAGGCACAGGGTGGCCACCATGTAATCGCAAATATTGTAAATACACGTTTTCTTCCATGAGAGAGAGGGACAGCACCCCAGTGGGGTCTTGGCTGCCCCATCCCCCAGCCACGCTCGCTGGTGTGTCCCCACGTGGGGCTGGTTGTGCCCCACCACCCGGCCTTCACGCAAAATTTCCCACGGCCCGTCTTGGAAGTACAAAACCCAGGAAGTCAGTGTGAGTGGTCTCTTTTTCCTAACCCCGGAGACCACAGCGCTGTCACCCCCAGATGTCATCGGGGGTATGGCTGGGACTTGTGCCCCACTCTGCGCTTCTCTGGTCCAGGCAGGCTCGGGTCGCACGGGTCCCTGGACCACGAGGTCTCTGGATCCCGTGCCCCAGGCCAGCGCCCGGCACACAGTGCCTGGAAGCCCATTGGGAGCAGGGGTGCGGCAGGCATGCGACCGACCACACTTCCCTGCGGGGAGACCACGGCCAGGCTGTCTCGCTTCTCCCGCTTCCCTACCCGGGTTTTCTACTGTGACCGTATACCATTTTTAACTCGTACAAATACAAGAAAAAGTAACTTTCAAAAGTGGCCGACCCGGGGCCCGCAGCAGTCCAGACACTGAGGCTCTGGACTCCCACGCAGCTGAGCACAGTCAGGTCCGGCCCTGGAGGCTTCCTCCACTCCCTCCCTCTCGCTGACTCTCATGAGCACACATGCCCTATAGCAAATAATAATAATAATAGTGAACAAAAGTAAATAAATAATTCTTTTTTTTGTTTTTGTCTTTAAAGGTTTTTGCCTTAGGGCATGTGCGCTCATTGGAGTGAGACAGAGACAGAGTTGACAAGCGGGAAAGAGAAATCATAAATCACCCCGGGGGGCCAGCCATGCCACAATCCCTTCTCCATTCTCCTGCTGGGTTCTTGGGCACGCACTCACTCATGCCCAGCATGCGTTTCAAGCCACCGGGTCCGGGACTCAAACTGTGGTCACCCATGTGGGAGTCCAGCGCCATAACTGCTACACCACCTGCTGGCCCCAGTAAATGATTCTTAAAAACAAACAAACAGAAGTGACCGGCAGCCGACGCCAGGCCAGCCCGGCTAAGCCCGTGCTGCCCTCGCCCCCGCAGGGGACCGGGACACCAAGAAGGAGGACGGGGGCGAGACGCTGCACGAGGTGGAGCTGATCATCAAGCACAACAAGTTCGTGAAGGCCACCTACGACTTCGACATCGCCGTGCTCCGGCTGAAGACGCCCATCACCTTCCACCAGAACGTGGCCCCAGCCTGCCTGCCCGAGAAGGACTGGGCCGAGACCACGCTCATGGCGCAGAAGACGGGCATCGTGAGCGGCTTCGGGCGCACCCACGAGAAGGGCCGGCCGTCCACCACGCTCAAGATGCTGGAGGTGCCCTACGTGGACCGCAGCGTGTGCAAGCTGTCCAGCAGCTTCACCATCACCCAGAACATGTTCTGTGCCGGCTACGACACCAGGCCCGAGGACGCCTGCCAGGGCGACAGCGGGGGCCCCCACGTCACTCGCTTCAAGGACACCTACTTTGTGACGGGCGTCGTCAGCTGGGGGGAGGGCTGCGCCAGGAAGGGCAAGTATGGGGTCTACACCAAGGTCGCCGCTTTCCTCAAGTGGATCGACAAGTCCATGAGGACCCGGGCGGCAGCCCACCCCTCGCCCACCGCCCTCCCGGGGGAGCCCCAGCCCACGGCCCAGCCCAGGGCCCCCACCCACCTACCACCCTCCCCAGAGAGCCCCAGCCCCAGCCCCTCCCCAGTAAATGCCTGGCCTGGAGACTCGCAGAGCTGGTGTCTGTTTACCTCGGGCCTGTCCCCTGGTGAGTCCCGGAGAGGCCCCGCCTCAGCGCCAACTGCTCCCTGCAGGCTCCGTCACGCCCCCTGGTGGGCACGCCTCTCCCTACCAGGCTGGCCACTTCAGGGACTCACGTGCTCCCTGGAGCCGGGATGGGGTCCCTCAGCCCCCGGCACAGCCTCTCTGAGAACAGACAGGCGGGAAGGCTCCCTCGAGCGTGCCGTGGGGCCCAGGTCCCGGGACAGAAGTGCCGGACGCTCTTTACTGGCCTTTTTAAATTTTTCTTTCCCAGGAGGTGCAGGTGCTGGCCAGGGCAGACGGGGAAGAGCATGCCCATGTGCGGCATCTCTTGTACTCCCTCCTCTCCTTCCTTAGGGTGCGTGCTTCTCCAGAGGACTGAGGACTCACCCCTGGGGGCACCCAGCAGTTTTTCTCCTCAGTCTATTCCTGGGATTTGGAGCACACACCCAGGACTGGACGGTGCAGCTGGCCATGTGGGACCCAGCGCCTTACCCTCCATGCCACCTGCAGGTCCTCTTCCTCTCTTCTTTTTAATTCTCTAGAGGGTGTGTGAGCTTGCAGGGGGTGGGGGAGAGAGGGAAAGTGAAAAAGCACCCCCTGGGCCCTTAGGGGATCCCCGCAGCACGCCAGGGTGGCCTGGTGGCGGGCCTGAAAGAACTCAGAAGCAGGAAAGGACAGGAAGGAGCCGGTGCGCTCTCCGGGTGGGAAGGGCCCGATGGGGTGATGTGTGGCCCGAGGGGGCGGGTGTTCCCTGGGACAGGAAAGGGGACCCTCGGGAGCCTTGGTCCTTGGCTGTGTCCCCGTCCTCCCGGGTGTCTCTCTGGCTGCTGTCACCTGCCACGTAGCCGTCCTTGGTTTTGCCGTCAAGGTCTTTGTGTCTGGGGCCAAGAAACTGGGGAAGCCAAAGCCGTCCGCGGCCCCAGCCGCCGGGGAAAGAGGGAGGAGGGGGCAGGCCGTTCGATGCTGGGGTTTCCGACGGGCCTTCCTGGCCTGGCCTCAGCTCCCCCTTTCATCCCGAAGGTGCTTCTCCATTCTCCTCTGAGGACTTTGGGCACTCAAACGCATGTACCTGGTGTGCTTTTTAAACCCCTGGGTCTGAAACTTGAGCTTCAGCTGGCTTTTACCACCACACCTCCGGCTGGCCCTCTCCCCTGAATTCCCCACTTACTGGGATTTGGAGTGCACACACACACATCAGCATGTTTTCAGGCTGCCGGGGCCAGGTTTGAACATGTAGCCAGCTACGTGGGATCTAGCTGCCTTAACCACCAGGCCCATGGCTGGAGCATCTGAAATCCACCTAAACAACTCGAGTGCTCTGGGCCGGCACCCAGGCCCGCCCCGATCAGGCTTGCCGCTGCGCAAGCTCAGCATTGGCCAAGCTGCCTGTCCTCTGGGGACGCTGGGGTCATCCAGAGACCCTGAGCCCTGACCCAGGCTGCACCTCGGGCAGCAGTCGGCACCCCTGGTGAGCCCAGCCGGGAGGCGCTGAGCCTCGGAGTCTGCACTGTGCGGCCAGAGCCAGGTTCGGAGCAAAGGTGGCATGGCTGCCGGGCTGTGGGCCTCCTCTCCGCGTCAGCGTGCCGAGCCCTGGCCCTGCCAGGGTCAGTACAGCTCCGGGCCTTGGCCAGGGCATCACGGCGCAAACATGCATCCAGGGCCTGGGGCCGAGCAGCCACGTCCCCGCCTGTCCCCCCACAGCCGCATTTGCGCAAGTCGCTGAGCACAGTTCAAAGTTCCCGTATGAAAGCGCCAGCGTCCAAGGGGGCAGAGGCTCCGTCACAGGAGACGGTCGCAAGAGTCCTCCCTTCCCAGAATGGCTGGGCAGTGCGAGGCTTCCTGGGCCCACCTGTGGGGTTCCTGCCCACTGTGAGGAGCGCATGGGGCCACAGACGGCCCCAAGGCAAGCCCCACTCGGTCCGCTCAGTCCTGCTCCTCACCATCTGGCTCAACGACAGCCTGACCTCAGCTGTGTCGGCCGTCACCTCTGGCTGCCGCGCTCCGTCTGTCCAGAACCCCCGGGGGGCACCAGCCTGGCTGTGTCAGGCCCATGGGTGCAGGGCTCAGGCTCGGGGCTCAGGGTGCATGTTGGAGGGCCGGTGTGCTACAGTGGGGTGGAGAGACCAGCAGGGGTCAGCCTGGGCGGCCCCACACATGCCCAGTTCTGCCTCGCAGCGTGGGCCCCCACCCCAGCGACAGCCTTGGCAGGGAGGGAGTGCGTGAGCCATGACGTGAGTGAAGACGTGCCGGGGGTCGGGCCCACCCATGGGCCTCGTCCTAGGAGGGACCGAGCGTGAACCAGCGTGGGAAGTGAGCGGCCATGGTGGCCTGTCTGGTGCACGCCGTCACCGAGCTCATGCGCTGGAAAGACGGAGCCGGCAATCCTCCTTCTGCCTAGCTCACCATGGCACAGACGCACTGCTTGTAAACAGCCCTCACCATGAATCCGGGCGTCGGCCTGAGCAGAGGACGTGGACACCACCAAGTAGCCCCCAAACCTTGGGGGGCGGGGGCGGCTCGGGAGCCTGCTGGTCCCTTTCAGACACAAGGCCTGGGGCCATGCCGGCGTCTCCTCCTGTTTCTAAGGGTCTTGGTGACATTGGCTGTGGGGAGCCGCCCACATCAAAATGGCTGTCATGACCTTCACTGCTTAAGAATGGCCGGTGCGACCTTGACACAGACACCAGGAATGCAGACCCCCTGGTTCACACAGAGCTGGCAGGTCCTCAATAAGGTCCGCTGTAAACCCCGCCTACCTCCCTCTACCTTGTGTATATAAGAAAGCGCTCTAGCCCTCAAATGAGCGAAACTTTTACATCAAAGAGCTGTGACACTATGTGAGTTGTGACACTTCTTCGCTCCCGTGCTGAGACGCTGCGCCGGTTCCAGACCTCCGCCCCTCGCTCGAGTTTCCCTGCCCGATTCGTCCCGCGGGTTCGGGACAATTGGCCATCAGCGAGCCTAAGACGCACCTGCTCGACAGCCTCTATGAAAGGAGGACACCTGCCTGGCCTCACGTCATCCTCAGCCCGGAGTGGAGTGGTCTCCGGGCACTTAGGGCCACAGGCAGCCAGGGTCACACCCAGCTTGGTGACAGATTTTCATACCCCTGTGCTCCAAAACGCACATGAAGGGTCCGAGTAAGGTGGGGTGGCAGCGCCCCGGGGGGAAGAGCTTGGTCTGTGCAGGCTGCACCAAGGCACAGTGGACAGGAGGGGTGGCCGATCCGTGGCACCAGCCTGTGATGGGGTGGCCGGCAGGGGACCCAGTGAGATGGCAGCGCAGTGGCCAGAGGTGCTGTGCATAGCCCTGGGTGTTCTGATCTACTAATGGAGACTGCCCAGGCAGGCAGTGTCTGAGGATGGGGACCCAAGGGCCAGAGCCACGGCTGGGTCTTCTGGCTGCAGAATCTCGTGGCAGGGGCCGGAGCTGGAGCAGACCTGTGTCCAGAGCCTGTGTGGTCGCTCCCCGCCCCTGGTAACCCTGGCCAACCGTGAGGCCCCACCCTGAGGCCGTCCCTTCCCAAAGGCCGCCCCTCCAAGCCACAGCTGGAAAGCCTCCTCCCACCCCACAACAGAGCTGAACTCCCACATGCAGACTTAGGGGGGACACAGGCACCCCGGCAGGGGTCTGAAGTTCAGCTGGGACAGCTCTGTGAGGACATCGTGTCTGAAGGACCCAGCGAGGAGGGGCCCCAACAAGCCTGGGGAGGGCAGACCGGCCGCGGTGATGGCAGGCCCTTGCACTGTTGCCCGTGCTGGCTGTGGACCACCAGCATCGGAACGGCCTGGTCGAAACAAGGTCAGGAAGTGAAGAGGCAGAAGGCCCTCTCCCACGCTGCGACCCTGGGCCAGCCGGGTGACAAGCCACAGCCCCGGGCCCTGGCTTGTTCGTCCATATGGGCCAGTGTGTCTCCCATTCACACGGCAAGGGGGGGCACACACTCCCGCCCACACTGGTGACTCGGTTGTCCCTGAGGACACAGTGGAGTCGGGGCCAGGCCCGCCCTCGTGGCCGGAGTCTGGGTGGGCGGGACAGTGGCTGCCTGGCCACGCAGATGGCCTGTGGGCTGCCGCCTGACCCGCTTCCCGTCCCGTCTCGCTCG